AGTATTGTTGAATTTTGAGCTTGCGAATGCCTAAGAATTGTCATTATAATTTCAAGTTCTGAAAACGTGAAGTTGATCATTGATCTATGTGATGAGATGTAATAGTTGAGTTATTTGCTTATTGGTAGATTTTGCTTGAGGACAAGCAAAAGTTCAAGTTTGGGGGTGTGTTAAGTGTATATTTTTACACTTTATCGTATCTTTTTATTTGAGCTTTTGGTGTGTTTTAACGAAATTGGTGCCTAAAAAGTTGATTTATTGTATTTTAGGTACAAATTGAAGAATTGGAAAAGTATGGGGTCAAAACTGCAATTTTGGCGAAAATATGGGCCAAAAGTGAAAAAATCAAATTTCAGAGGATTTAATGCTGAGACCCCGTCCCTGTTTTAGTGCAAATCGTGGGACCCCGTCCGAGACTCCGAAGTTGCGCAGTAAAGGAATCCTAATTGCACAAGGAAACTACCTTCTTCCCCAAGTTTTCCACCCTATATAAGACCAAGTCAAGCACACAATTAGGGATCAATCTTGGGACGCAAATTCAAGAGCAAAGAAGATCAACGAGGATTCAAGCATAGTTTTTCTTATTTAATTTATTTATTTTATTTTATTTATCATAAGAATTACGAGTAGCTAAGTCTTTATTTCTAGGATTTTATTTGGAACCTATGTGGGATTTATGAACCCTTTTCTATGATTTTATGCAAGTTTTAATTCCGGATTATTTCTTCTACTTGTTTTATTAAGTGCATGAATTTGATCACCTTATGTGCTTTTATGTTATTGCTAATCGCATGAATCGGAAGATCGGGTTAATAATTAGAACTGTGGTAGAAGAGTCTTTGTGGTATTAACATAGGAATATAGTTAATCTCTTAGGTAGCCATTATTAAGATTCGTGCTTAATGCTGTGTTCTAGAATTAATTGCATAGGAATATAGTAATTGAATCTAGAGTATTAGAATCGTAATACACGCGGAAGCGGGTTATGATTATTTTAGCATCTCAGGTTAGTAATCCGGGTTAATTGCTTGCATAATTGAAAGAATTGGGGGAGTAATAATCACATAGGGGGGAAGAATAAAATCCTAGGCTTGTCTATTTTGATTAATCTTCGTGTTTAAATTGCTTTCTTGTTTTTGCTTGCTTTTTAATTTAGTTTAATTTAGTTTATTCTCTCAAAACTCGACTGTGTAGGGTGGGCTTGATAATAATTGGTAGAATTTAGCGTCTTGGATTAGATAATTAAATATTCCATGTGGGTTCGATATCCGGACTTTTAGTCCACTATATTACTTGTACGATACGTGCACTTGCGTGTAGGTTTTCGGCCAACTGTGAGTATATAAAATAATTAACTTGAGAGCATTTGGGATGGATGTTGTGTTAATAAGCATTGCAACCTAATTTAAAATAGAAAATAATAACCACTATGATTATTTGTAGTCGCTAGGGGTGGAAATCGGACATAATGGATAAGAAATGACTTTAATTTTTCGAAAAAATCCCATTTTTTTTCGGAAGTGAAAAGTGGGTTACAATTTTTGTTCCAAAAAAATCGGAATGCAAAAATTCATTCCGATTTCGGAATGCTTCCGAATCAGCGTCGGAATTTTCAGAATTTACATTACTATATAATTTTTCACAATATGTTTCTATCTTTTTTGAAATTTTGCAGGAAAATGCAAGAAAGTCCAAAAGGAGTTCGACAAAACCCAATAAATAAAAACATATGTCAACAAATTGAAACATAGATTTCCTTATACGAAAAAAATGTAATATAAAGTTTTCGATGTCAATTATATTATTTTTTTTCTAAGGTTTTAATTTATTTGACCCGTCAGTATTTATATTTTTCATATAAAATAAAATACAAGTTACATTCTGGAATTACAAATTAGATCATAAATTGTATTATATATTTCGAAAAACCATAAAAATATTCGGAACTAAAATCAGATCGGAAATCGGAATTTACAGTAATTTTATATACCTTTCCAATTATGTTCCAAATAAGTTCGGAAGAACCAGAAATTGGATCGGAAATTGGAATGAAAAATACGGTTCCAAAATTGAATATTTTCGGATCGGAATTGGCGGAATTCGGAAATTCCATTCCGGTTTCCACTCCTAGTGGTTGTGGTTCCAAAAAATGAGTTTGATTTGGCAATTTAATAACTATATTCTTTTTTTCACTTCTGCCTTTTTCTTTAACTTCTCATTTTTGCAAATATAACTTGTTTGTCCATTAACACTTGGTTAATTTAATTTTACTGCAGTTAAACTATGAAAATTTTATTAAAATATCAATGTATTTTGTGAAGTTACAATTTTTATAGTTTGAGTTTATTTTTCAGAAGTACATAGATTTTCTTATGACTCTTTATAATTTCTTTAAAAATATTAATATATAATCATTACTATCTATATTATTTTTTAAATAAGTAAGATTGAGATTCATTGCGATTTTCGATTTATACGTTTGATGAATCAATTTGCGATTCGCTTCACGATTTAACAACCGTGATTAGGACATATGAGTTTAAATATGTTACGAATGCTAGTCAAAATTTCTAGTTAAAACATAAATGAATCAACAACACAAGAGAAAAACGTGTGCGGAGGCCAACTGTTAAGTGAATATTTTTACACTTTATCGTATCTGTTTATTTGAGTTTTTTTTGTGTGAATTAACGATAATTGGTGCTTAAAAAGATGATTTATTGTATTTTAGGTATAAATTGAAGAATTGGAAAAGTTTGGGGTCAAAACTGCAAATTTGGAGAAAATATGGGCCAAAAGTGAAATAATCAAAAATATGCTGAAATTGGCTGAAAATAGACCCGCACGGCCGTGCCACAATTAGCCTATTTTTGGCACGGCCGTGCCAAATGCTGAATTTGGGCAGAAGGTTCGACGATTCTCGCGCGGCCGTGCGAGAATTGCACTGATTTTCGCGCGGCCGCGCCAACACACGCTGGACACAATTTTGGACTTTTAATCACACAAGGAAACCTAAAATCATCTACCAAGTTGGGGCATCTATTTAAGACCAAACCAAGCACGAATCGGGGACTTTTGGGAGACAACCTTGGAGCGAGAGGAGCGAGAGAACGAAGAATCGAAGACGGAGAATTGACAAATCTTCATCACAATTCCTCTTTCGTCTATCTTTTCTTAATCTATTTCTTTTTATATTTTATGATGTTTTTCGTAGAGAACATGCGTAGCTAAGTTTTTAATCTAGGATTTTTTCGGAACCCTATGTGGGGATGGTGAACCCGTTTTCTTGAGATTATGCAATTATGATTTTATGATTATTTCTTCTATTTGTTATGATTGTTAGTGCATGAACTTGATCAATTTATGTGCTTTATCTGTGATTATTGGGATTGACTCGACAGAACTATTTTGATAATTAGACGGTAAGTATAAGAACCTTCGAGTAGTTTTCACCGGATGAGTGTGTCAATTGCATGTGGTGTCGTAGACATACAGATATCACCATAGGTAGCCAATTACGAGACTTGTTAGTTAATGATTTATTCATAATTTGTTTGCATAGACATATAGTGAACCGTTTATGAATAATAGACTCATAATACACGCGACAGCGGGTTATGAGTAAATTAGTGTCTCGGGTTAATAATCATGAATCATATATTTCATAATTGAGGGGTTTTGGGTGAACAATTCTTGCATAGGGGGGAGATAAAATCCTAGGTCCGTTTTATTGATATTTTCTCGTGTTTATTTGCTTTCATAATTAGTTTAATTGTTTAATTGATTTAATTTGACAAACTTGCGTAGGCTGGATAAAAATCATAGTTGTTGGAATTTGGTACTTAGGATTAGATAATTTGAGTATTCCCTGTGGGATCGACATCCGACTCTCACGAGTCCACTTTTACTACTTGTTTGCGATATGTGCACTTGCGTGTTAGGTATTTAGCACCCAACACCAACGTACAACTTTTTTCGGTGGACAGTTTTCTCGTACATACACCTAACTTATCCCGGTGTAATCTCTCCATACACATGTAGTTATGCAGTACGCGGTTTGCACATACACACCCAAACATACATAGATATATGCACTTGATTGTCCCGCAAGGGATGGCCTAGCGGTTGGAGGCTTGGAGCAAGTGAGCATGTGTCAATTGACACACGTTCGAATTTCTTTGCCAACGGTCGCTAGCTCGAGCTTGTTACCCATGGTTAGTCTAGTGTGGTTCACATTTCTCTTTTGATTTGCAAGTTATTATACAAGAATGTATGTTTACCTAGTGCTGTGAGTTCATTAGTTACCGAGAAAAAAAAAAAAAAAAAACACGCACTTGATTATTTTAGTAGGTCTAAACTTTTAGGTACATAATTTAAATAATTAAGGAATCTAAATGATTCTATTTTTTTTTTTTTTTTGAGAGTAGAATCTAAATGATTCTTGCTCATGTAGAATTTTATTTTTTCTACCTAATTATTGTTTTTCTTTTTCTTTTTTTTTTTCCGAAAAAGACGAAGAAATTCTTATTGGTTAAGCAAGAGAATTTGACAAAAACATGAGCACTTTCTTAATACTCCCTCCGTTCCTTATTAACTGTCGTTTTTTAGCTCTGCACAAGTATTAAGGAAAAACACATTAGAAACACTAAAATAACCTTGATCATTTAATAATGTAATAAGAGAGAGTTAATACTTGGAGAGTTGAATTAATAAGGTTAAAACATGAAAAATGTACAGTTAAACCTCTATAAATTAATACAGTTGAAACTAAGGAAATTCTATTACTTTAGAGAATTATTAAATTATCTAGTTGATAATTTAACACGTTTTCACCGAGTCGGGACCGAGAGAAACTATTATTTAATCGAGGTTATCAATTTATCGAGGTTCTGCTGCATTTAATGCAGTATTGGAAATCTAAGTGACAAATAATATGAAATAAAAATATTTTAAAAATGAGACAGTTATTATGGATCAGATGGAGTAATACGCATGGAAGGTTAAGAAAACGGAAATATTATTGTTGATCGAAAAAAGTAGTTCATCTGAAACATATTTAAGCAGTGGAAGAAACCAACAAAGGTTCGAAGTAGGTTTGCCGAATATTTTCAGAGATTACGGAAACCTGAAATCGGTGGTTGTTCCAGAAAGAGAGATGTCTGAATCTGCAAACCTTGAACTTATAAACCGCTTGTCTTTTTTCTGACAGGCCTTGAGTATGTGCTTTGAACCTGCAGTCAGTTTGATGGGGCCCACTGCTGCATTATCAAACTCTGTTGTTCTGTTTGTGGCAGCACGCGGTTCGTACGCTCGTCCGGTATTTCGAACACTACCTTCGAATCTAGCAGAAGAACCCGCATTACGGAATCCAAAAGTAGGCATCTTTATTGGCTTAAACGGAACATTATTAGTAGATTTGGGGAAACGACTGAATGAATAATTACGGTTTACGTTTTTCGAAGCATCGAAACGAAACGGGGCCCGGTTTGAAGAAGATCTCTGACTCGAATAAGATTTGGTGTTTCCTTGGATATCTGGGTGCATGAAAGGAAATCTAATGGCTGATATTGGAGATAGTTGAGGCAGATTCTGAGCAGCTTTTGGTGTAGAGAACAAATTAGATTCCCTGTTGTAATATTCGGAACGAGGATATATCTTCTGACCACTGTCGATTTTTCTTGCAGCAAAAACGCCCGTGTGTGTATTTTCTGATGGACGGAACAACAAAGTTTCTCTAAATTTATGATCCTGTGCCATGAAATTGCTGACCGGGATATTCCCGAAACGATGCTCGTTTACGATTTTCTTATCCTTCCAAATATGCCCGTTTTCAGATTCTTGAAAGTCCCTTCCGCCGCCGACTGCGAACTCTTTGCCCATCAAACGCATGGTTGACTGGATTTTCTCGTTTCCGAGACTCTTGTTGACCGTGTTGTTGTCTGAATCTTGAAAGGCATGCTCGTTTATTTTAAGAAAATCGAAGCCGAAATTTGCGTTGTCGTCGCATGGAGATTTAGTGATATCCAATCTGGAGGGATTCTGTTTGATCACATAGCTCTCGTCAGGGAATAGATTCAACCGATTTGTCGAATATGTTCCACAATCCAATCTTCTTCGCTCCGAAAAAAGATCGACACTTGAATTAGCACACGGGTTGAAACTGATGAACTCTCCTTGTGAATTGAGAGGCAATCCCACAAAATCTTGATTATTCAAGCGATTGACGCCCGTTTTTGCATGAATATTCCCACAGAAAGGGTGCTGACGTGGCAATGTTTGAAACCGGAAAGCACTATTATTCGCGTGTGAGAGATTAGGTCGAGACACTAAGGACTCGTTATTGCTCTTGAAACTCATAGGAGGAGGAAATATTACGGGATCAAGATTCCGTATCAAATCTCTTGAGGTAGAGTCGATATTCGGACAAGCATACATCAGCGAATCATGTGTCGCTTCTGCGAGACGACCACTTTCAGACAAGTTTCGATTCATGCTAAGTAATGTACTTCTGTCTGAAGATTCAGATCTGCTAACACTTTCCTCGTCGTCGTACTTTCGCTTCATAATAAATGTCGTAAATCCAGCATCTACTTCTTCCTTCTCTACTCCCATTGACAAAACATCCTCGATTATTGCAGTCGATGAATCTTGTCGGAGTAACTTATTGGAACATTCCGAGTGATAATTAGACGACTGTTTGCCACTCCGGGTGTCGTTCTTGTCTGAGAAAGTGACGTGCTTGTCTCCCACGTGCGAGATATTTTTCTTCGAAAACGGTTTCGCATGGTTCCTTAAAATGCCGCGATGCTTTGGCTTATAAAACGGCAACCATGTTAGTAAAATAGCCATACAATAGATTCTATAAGAGGGTTAAATATGACATAATAAAACTATAAGGGCTAAAGTGAGATACAATACAAGTACAAGGGGCAAAGTGAGATAAAAAAAAAAGATACATAAGAGCGTAATATTATTCTCACTGACTAAAGTGGTGTTTGCAAAACCTTATTTAAAAGCATAAGTTAGTGATTGTGAGTTAAGTTGATATTAAGTGTTTAATTCCAAAAGTTGGGGGTGTTTGCAAAAAAATCTGAAATTAACTAAAATAGAAAAAGCAGGTACATGGGTTCTTTTAAAATTATAGCTTAAATCAGTTTATTTTAAGAGAAGCAAAAGCAAAAGTTGGTTTTGCAAACACCTAAAAACAAATTATGTTAGAAAAAAAGCTCATAATTTATTTTTAAAAGCTTTTGCAAACACCACCTAAATAGAGATGCAAAAATAGAATTACCCATATATTTATTTTTTTATTTTATTTTATGAAGATATCAATATGCAGTTTATATGCTATAATACAGATTGTTCTATGTTACACCAAGTGAACGTACTTACTGATATTCTATCGTACACGCGTATAGATCCAAAAAACTACATGTGTGATTATCGTCTATAAATCAATCAAAAGTAAAAAATAACCGTAAACCCACCGAAAGTTTAGCCGTCAAATACTCTTATTACGCCTAATTAACCACCCTAATTGCATTTAAACCCATCATTAGGGGATAATACTACAGAAACTGAAGATATTTACTGCTAATCTACTAGACGATTACCGTGTTAAACCTATTATTTTATGTGTGAACTTGATCGCCAAAAACGATACATCTAACTTACGACATAAAATCATCACGATACGCTAATCAAGAAAACAACAGTTGTTCAAATCTATTTCTGAGTGAAACCCTAATACTTAGTCTTAGCAACATAACATTATATCCAAATGCATATGATCTATACTTAGTCTTAGCTTAGAACGACCAAATGTTTCCGTAATAAATTAAAACAATGTTTGTTCAATAAATCCGCTGCCCAGTCGAATCAGAAAAAAATCGAAAATACGAACAATTTCAGGTTGTTTTTAAAAAAACCTAATTTTCCACCTTCTAGAAAACCCTTGCAAATGCAAATATTAGATTAAACTAGCCTAACAGACACTAATTTACTAAACTATTAAACCCCAAAATGAAAAGGGACAACA